GGGCTGTATATTCCAAAGATAGACCCAGTTGATACAGCAGCATCAATGTTGGATGATCCATCAAGCGGGTCAAACACCACAATGTAGTTGCCGGAGTAGCTCTCCTCTACTGCCACTGGTACATCCTCTTCCTCAGATGCTATGATCCCTGTCCTTCCACTTGACCTCAAGCAATTTGAAAATACCTGTTGATTGAATAGCCAATCATTTAATCTTTGAGCTCTCAGTGGTGTCAAGTCTCTCTTGACCACACTTTTTTTTTTTTTGAACATTACCCATTTTTGATATGCATCTAGCAATTAATGTGATAGTATGGTACCTCAATAGAATATGGGGTCCATTTGGGAAGGGAATAGCCTTCTAATAGACATTGGGTAAGGTCATTAAGTAGGCTGAGTCTCTCAAGCGGTATCCAAATCGACAATTACTATCTAGAGTTCAATTACTAAACATGATTCTTGCTCAAGTTTGGGTAAGTATATCTAGGTCATATGCTCAGGTTTGGCTCGACGTGATTCAGCTTGTTTTTTGAATTACAAACTCAAATTCTAGTTCAAGACATTGACTGAACTATTAAATTGGAGCTTAGGTTATTCGAACTTGAGCTATAAGATTCATGCTTGAATTTTCAAAATTGTACTGTGAATTCAGTCCCTTCACTAGAAGTTCCCTATGTATGTAGCTGAAGTTGCTGTTTTGTTATTTTTCACCATGAAATATTATAAATGAGTTGAGTAGACATTTTGGGCTTGACTTGAATATTAAACGACTTTAAAGATATGATTATGCTCTGTTTATTTTCTAGTAACACCTAATGTAATATAAGTTTGTTCTTAACATTTTTGAATTATGACCGCTATTGTATGATAGTAAAAGTAACTAAAGCAGCGTTACTGATTTTTCCTTTGATCTATAAAATCCGGTCCATGTAGTGTAGAATACAAACCTCATTGGAGACAACATCCAGTTTCTTCTGATCTTCCCCCTGAACATTGACTGCACCCTGGATGCCGGTAAGGTTTGAAATGCTAGCTCTTTGGACCAGGGAAGCAATCTGCTTACATGCCATTGATATGCTTGAAAGCACTATGGTGAGTTCGGCATCAATAATACCTGCCTGTTCTTGTTTCAACAGCCAGCCGGTCAAGGTTTGAATGTCATACCCGCTCTTCTTCTTGGTCTGTGCCTCAGACGCCACGGCCATGCACCGGACTCCATTGGCTGCTTGTCGTCTCTTGATGCTGCTGTTGTTGGGACATGAAATTAGTGTCTTTGCGTTGAAGACGCATAGTTGGGAAGGAGAGAGACGACATATAGAATGAGAGCTAGAGAAGAGAATTTGTGATGTTGGTGTTGTGGCTGTTGTTGCAGCCATGGCTGTGTGTGTGTTTTTTTTTAGTTTTCTTCTGATTTTGCCTCCCTCAGAGTCTCTGCTAATGTGTGATGTTCATATCTTCTCTATTTGTTTTTTAGATATTCTTTATTAATTCATGGGCTGGTCTTAGATTTCGTTGGCATTACGGGGTGGGATTGTGAGGCTAGTAACGATTCCGTTCAGATGGGACCCACTTATCTTTTTCACTTCGACCCCTTTGTGATTCTGTTCGTTGTGTATGACAATATGCTTCACCTCAGTTCAGTAAGGTTGGATGATGTGATTTAGAAAAGGGCCAACCCAAGCCCAAAGTATGAGTTAAAGGCACTAGCCCAGGTATACTTGCGCTAAGCCCGCATCTATTTTAGGTAGGATATTTACCCATGTCGTTTGGGCTGATTTTCAAAACATGAAGTTAGGCCTAACTTGAGAGACTGAAGTTTGGCACAAGACAATCGTACCATAAATGACTATGGTAGACCGGCCCACATGCATAACATCATGCATATTCCCCAACTGCAGCCCAAAGCTTAAAACCTTGAAGTGAGGATTTGGGTTATTTTATATAGTTAATTACGTTAAGGTCTCTTCTTTGGTGTGTAAATTAGGTTTAGTCTTAGTGAATTTTTAGTATATAAAAATATCCTCTATGTTTTTAAAAACTTTGGATGCGGTCCCTGTGTTTGTAGGGTTGGGCAGTTGTTGTATGTTTATTATCTATTTTGTCCTTTTTACATGATTTCAGCCTAAATTTAAGGGGATGTGAGTGATATATAAAGTGATGGATGGGTTTGGGGGAAGCCATGGTTGTGACGAGGGCTGTGATGGAGAAGTTAGGGTGGTGGCGGAGGATTAGCTTTCCTAATTCTATCCTTCTGATGTCCGGTACGTTTGGGTCAGACATGTATGGCGACGATGAAATAAATAGCAAACCAACTTGAAAGAAGATAGCATTTAGGCCCCTGTTGGTTTTTTCAGTCAGGCCCAAAAACGTGACTGTGGTAATGGAGTGAGATTCCGAAGTGCTTATTGGACATGGAATGGTGGAATTGACCATTCGTTGTACAGTCAAACACAATATTTTATCGAAACATTACAGGTATATATATGCCATTATAGGTACAGTAGTATATAATAAGTTTTGTACCTATATAAATATGTATATTTTTATTGCATACCTGTTGTGTATCTATCTGATAATTTGTGTTTATGGAGAAGATTAGTGTACCTGTCTGACAATTACTGTTTAATTGTATATTTGTTTGACGATTAGTGTACATATCTAACGATTTGTATTTATGAAGAAGATTAGTATACATGTCTGACGATTTGCATTATATGCTTGTGGCTCTGACACTAGTCATTGAATGTGGCTCTAGATATTTTTTTATACATTTTTGTTCAATTTTTTAATGACAAGTTGTCCATCATGTATTGGTGGATGATTCACTTAATGGGTTCTATGAACAGGTGATCTAATATTGAGAGAAATTGAAGATGAGTAAAAATCGAAGGAATCTAAACCTTTTGGATGGTGTAGTGACTACTAATCACATGGGATTCCCTATTAGCAATAATTTATGGTCTATTTGGTAGGGTGGATAAAAAAATAGGATGGAAAATAGAAGTGATATTATTTGTCCGGTTACTTATGTAGTGCATATTTTATTAAAATAAGTGGTGGATTGTTAGAATATTTTAACTAAAAGAGTGTTTTTTATGTGTGGGACTTCAATCCCATAACGACTAAATATTCAAAGGTACTTGAGTATATATATATACTAGTGTTATCTAGCCTTTGAATTAAAGAGAGATCTTGAGACTCTCATGTGCGTAGGGGTGGAACTAGCGGAGGAGATTTTTAAAATCTACGAACCACACTGGTGTGCCTAGTCCACGACTAGGGTAATGGGTTCTCCTGGCTCGCCTAAATGAAATAGAATATTAATTAGTATTAAACCCACTTTTTAATATTTTATTTAATTATTTTCTGTCATTACTTCTACATTAAAATTTTAGTTGTTGAATACCAAAAATCTCCGACGGTTAATATTCCAATAGTCATATTTTTTGAGTAATTATCCAATTAAATATAGAAGTAATTATATATATATATACCAAATATAACAATGTGCGAAAAGACATAAGAGTAAGGAGAATAAGAGTAAGAGGAGAATCACAGGCTGTAGATATAAGGACTGGTGATGAATTTTACTATTGAAAAATTCTTCTTATAAGAACAAAATATAAATTACAATACAGGAATAAAATACTTACAACACTAGCACTACTGAACTAGTGGCTGTAACAGGATTGGGTAGAGAGGCTCTTTATTTGTATCATGATGAAGGCTTCTTTACAAATAATGTATAGGGTGGATAGTGAGCTTTGTTAGAAAAAGCTTCGGATTTTTAGTGTGTTTTTGATCTCCCCAAAAAAACCTTGAGAAGATAATGAAGCCTGAAGTCTTTATATGAGCATAAGGATTTCTGAAGTAATCTCTAGAATGATTGCTTCTTTGTCTTCTGTGGCTGTTTTTACTTGGGTAAAATGCTTTTACTTTATCTTTTCGGTAGAAAAGTGAAAGTGAAATGCCTTTTACTAAAGTAAATTCGGACTTTGCTGTCTGAAAAATCTACTTTCGATGGAAAACAGATCTGAATGATGGTTAATGACTGCTTTACTAGGGGAAAGAGCCGTTGTACTAAATGATTCTTCATCGATATATGTAATAGACAATTTTTATTTCTTTAATGAAGAAAGTAGTGAGTGAAGTTATCACATATATAGACAAGTATCATTATGGGGTAGATATATCTACTAGATCATCATATCCTGCATAAGGGTCTTGGGTCTCTTGAAACGAATCTAGAGAAGTATTAACAGAACCCTGGGATGATGGAGATGAACTTCTAGATGCTTGTTGAAGAAGTTGCTGTGCTAACTCAATTAACTCAGTCTTCTTTTTGGACTGTTTGCTAGAATCCTTAGAGGAGGATTTTCGTTGTTTGTGCTCTTCAGTATTGGATTTCTTGGGCTCTTCTGGAGTAGAAATCCTGAGAGAAGACATAACTGGCTTTGCTGGAGTTGTAGGAGTTAAGGTTACTGGAACCACTACTGGGGTTGGAACCTTGACTGGGAACTCCTGTTTGACACGGTTAATAATTGGTCCTTACTGGAACTTGGGCCACCATTTGACATAGAATTGTCTGGCGACATTATACCCAATAATTTCCTATTTTCATTTGCATATGCATGAAACTTTATACCTGCAAATAAATATTAGTAAATTAGGAAACTGACTCTCATGTTTACTAGGTCTATAAACAGAGGAGAAGACTATAATCTGATCTTGAAGATCACCTGAAAAGATTTCATGAATGAGGCCATAGACAAACCACCACTGTGTGAATTAGGACGGAATCTGACTCTTGAAATCTTTATGGAACTGTATAAACCAGGAGTGATTTAAGGAATCATTTTGATAGAGGATAAGTTTAAATCATGACTCTTTGTAGTTGTAGTAATTAAACTTTTTATTATGATATGGTAGATCTCTGAGTAAAGAAGGATGAGATCTCCATTCTTTGAGGGAAATAAACTTTAAAATGTTTAAAGAGTGATAAATAACTTTATTAGGGTCATTTTTATCAGTTATAAGATTGATAGAAATGGACTTAGTAAAGAATAATATGTCCTAATAGAAACTAAAGGTTTTTTCAGGATCAGATGGAATAAAAGTCCATCCTGGTTCAAGGTATGCATTGACAAGATCCATTGGGTTGCTTTGGTGAGCATGAACTGGTTCAATGGCAAAAATATTTTGGGAATAAGCTTTGATATAATCAACTTTTGAGCCTTTATGGGCTGGTTGTGGTTGATCTTGAGTATATGGATTAACAAGTTGGCTAGACGAATTGGGTTTAGTTGATGAGATAGGTTTTGGGGCCTGCTGGGCCATTTGAAAGAAAGTATTAGGGTTGACTATGGTTGATTTGGCTACTGGCCTTGTTGGGTTAGAATTACCAAGAGGTTGAAAACGGGTGGTAATCTGGATAGCAGAGGACTGATGATTTAGGCTTGGCAAGGCTAGTGGGCTTGTCAAGGTGAACTGTTTGTCAAGGTTTGTCTTTTCTTGGGCAAATATCTAACTAAATTTTTGTTTTCTAGTATCCCTCCCGACTTTCGAAGAAGTACCAGGTTTACTATCTTTCTTGTCCGTCATGAGGTTCCTGCAGAAATTCAAGGATTAGAAAATCAGAGATACAGTTATTACTGCCCTTAATATCAAAATCGAAAATACTTAAAATATATTGCCATCTGGCAAAAATCTGCTTACTAGCAATGTTTTGTACATTTTTTTCTACAACCTATTTTGGTGATTTGCAGTCTACTCTTACTAAGAATTTCTGATTTAGTATATCATTCTGGAATTTTGAGATACACAGGATAATAGCTAATTTTTTTTTTAATAGTACTATAATTTTCTTGTGTTTTATTGCAGATACCAGAGTGGAAACGAACAATTTGTTCTAGGGAATCTGGAATGAGCTTTTGGAGTAGGATACCACCATAGCCAATGTTGGAGGCATTAGTTTGGATGATTTTGAATGAATCAACCGAAAGAATACCAAGACAAGACAAAGTTTTAATGAACTACTTGACTTGTTGGACTATGGATGTATGAACAGATATCCAAGGAGAATGATTTCCTTTGAGTCTGTTATACAGAGGTTTAATGGTTTCTTAAGATCCTGATAGAAGTCAGAAATATAGTTTAGAGAACTTAAAAATTTTTGCAATTGAGTTTTGTCTATAATCTCATCAAGGAACTTATCTGCAAATTAGATAGAACGACTGATGGGAACAATAGTTGATTGTTGGATGTTGTAGCCAAGAAACCTTACTGAGGTTTGGAATAACTTGATTTTATTAGCAGAGATGACAAGACCATTATGTTTGACAATCTCTAAAAATGCATAGAGGTGCTTCTAGTGTTCTTCTATAGATCTAGAGAAGATGAGGACATCATCTTTATAGACTATAGAAAAATAACTAATGGAGTTAAAAAATTCATTAATTATATTTTAAAATTCATTAGGT